TAGCCTAACTTACATAAATGAAGAGTTAATGGTAACAAATGGTACCTTGGCCACCACAGCTCTGTAGTAGGGCTTACTGAAAGGAACTAAGTTTTCCAAATGCAATCCTTGGACACAAGATCTGTATACTAGGCATTGAGGATCACCAAAAATATTTACAAGTGAAATCAGCAGCTAAGAAAGTACATTCAGAACACTTTTAACCCAGCCCTAAGTTCATCCTCTTTCACAGTGCCCAAGAAACTCTTTTGATGCTAAATCTTTCTTGTCATATTATTTCTTTTCTGGTGTTCATTGAAACCTGGTATTCTACTGAAGACACATTTATGAGGATTCTTTACATGCCTGTATGCACTTTCTTACACACCTTCTTATCCACAGGATCAGAAAGAAAAGTTGCCTGTTCTCTGCTTAACCTTGCCATCTCAAGACCCTCACTCCATCCCTATCAATAGGCAACTACACCATTTAGGTCTCTGTTGCTATCAATATGGACCTCCAGTTCACTTTATCTCTTCTCCACTTAGTTTTGTCATTAATTCATATACTTCTTTTCTTCCCTTTCCAATCCTTTCTGTGAACCCTTAGGCTTGTCAGTTGTCCAACTTCCTCAACTACCATTCAGGCTGCTTCAACAACAAGAAAGAGTGATCATGCTTATAACAACTACCCCAAAATTCCTGACAGAATTCCTCAGCAAAGTACTGGCATCAAGGTCTGAGAAGATGACTATGCACATAGAGGGCAGCAATTAGGAGCCAAAAGGAAACATGACTTCTTCCTAGAAAATGGAGAATCCCTTGTGAGATGAGTCCCAGTGGGAGCTTCTGTCTCTGTGTTACTAATGAGGTCCCAGGAATTTTCTCAGTAACCGTAAAACACTTTAAGTACATCATCAAGAGCTTTGTAGTATGAGTAAGTGTTGTTTCCTTACCTATGGTTGAAGAGGAAACTCCGGAAAATGTCACAATTAGAAATGATCATCTTCAGATCAAATCAACTTACAGAGCATTTCAGAGATGGAATTCTGTGCCCTGATTCCCACCAACACTAAAAGGGATTAGAAACCTCTGTGCCAAGACCATAGAAATTTTCATAGGAGAGATTAACCTTCCAGGACTCTATGGGCGAAGATGATTTAAGAGCCACTGCTAGAGGGTGAGTATTTGACTAATTTGATATTACTCTTCATTCTACCAAAAATATTCATGAAACTCCAGGGATTTGCAAAAGAAAGGATATCTCTATATTCTATTCTAGCCATCACTGACCATGACAGGGGCAGAAAACTGGGTATAGGTGGTTTAAAAGCTAGAAAGAGATTTTTGGAAGTATGAGGAATTCCAGCTCAGAATGAAAGAAATGCAGAATTTGATAGTTGGAAAGGACCTTCCATCTACTTCAAGTAATACCCCACAACTCCACCCAAATACCCACTAAAGCAATGGAAGTTATCTAGCCTCTACTTGAAGAAGGAGAAACCAATTACCTACCAAGGCAGCCCAATTTCCTTTTGGTAAAGGTAATTGTTAGGGATTTTATTCTCTCATCAAGGGTAAATATATTTCTTTGCAACATTCACACTTCCCTTGGTGCTACCCTTTAGGGACAATCTGAGCAAGTCTAATCTCAATCAGAGATAACAGTCTTTAAAATACTTGGAAACAATTATCATGCCCAACTGATTCTTCCCTTGTCCAGGCTAAACTTTCACAAGTTATTCAAATTGTCCTCATATAGTAGGTACTCAATATCATTCATGACCCTCATTTTCCTTTTCTTGATATTCTCCAATTTGTGAATGTCCTTCACCAACTACGGCATAGAGAACTGGACACAATACTCCAGCTGTGCTTTAACCAAGGTAGAGTGTTTTAGGACTATCATTTCCTTATTCCTGCAAACTATACCTCTCTCCATTTAACCCAAGATTACGTTAGGTTTTTTGACTCCACTTCAGATTGTTCATTATATTGAATCTGTAGCCTACTGAATCCCCTGATCTTTGTCAAACAAGCTGACTTTTAAACTTAGAGCCATTTTTAAAAATTTTTGGAACTCATTCCTCTAACTACAGTGGAGGGATTTACATTTATTCCTATTAAATTTTGTCATACTAGATTAAGCCTATTGTCTTAAATGAACATAATACTTTTGGATCATGTATTGGTCAAATTGTGAGTATTTGTCCAAGCTTTGTGTCATATTCAAACGCAAGCCATCAGTGCTTTCATCTAAGTCACTGATCAGTGTGTGATCAACAATGCAAGAGAGAATACTAATCCCTAAAGCACTCTACTGAAGACTACCTTTCAAGTTGGCATTGAATCATTAATGACTACTCTTTGTGAGGTGTTCCACTAAGTGCAAGTCCATGAAACCACACTTTTGTCCCTGTCATATCACTGCATCTTTTCCATAATGTGCTTCTTATCAAATATTTTTGCCAAAATTTAAGCATGATAAGTGTATTTATTTCTTTTATTGCTCATTGTATTAATTTATCATTTTATTAAAAAAATGTCTTGGGACCTAAAGAACTCTCTCCATTAAGGAAAACCAGATTTCTTAGCAGCTCATAACATTCCAGTTAGGTGCCCTTGGTAATGACTGAGTTCTCTCAGCTCCTTTTTTTTTTTAGCCTCTTACCTTTGAAAATGAGGCAGAGGAAAGACTTTCTGACTTGATAAGCCTCAAATGTAATTGGTAGGCAGCTCAACATCCAATTGTCTGTTAATCAAGTTCCACAAAAAAATCAAGAGCTTTGGTGAATGCTGTGAGGAGAGAGTTGATTTTGGATTCTATCTCTTGCTAGGTGAACTTAAGCCTTAATATTCTTTTTTTCAAAAAAAATATTTAAAGTTTTGAGTTCCAAATTCTATTCTTCCCTCCCTGGGCCCCTCCCTGAGATGGTAGGTAATCAGATATAGATTACACATGCAATTATACAAAACATTTCGATATTAGTCATTTTGTACAAGAAGACTTGAATAAAAGAAAAAAATTGAAAGCAAATTAAAAATAGCACACTTCAGTTTGTATTCTATCAATATCAGTTCTTTCTCTGGAGGTAGATAGTATGCTTCATCATCAATCTTTTAGGATTTTCTTGGATATTTGTTTTGCTGAGAATAGCTAAGTCATTCACAATTCTTCATTGAACAATATTGCTGTTACTGTGTACAACGTTCTCCTGGTTCTGCTCACTTCACTATGGATTAGTTCATGTAAGTCTTCCCAGGTTTTTATGAAATCATTCTGCTTGTCATTTCTTATAGCCCAATAATATTCCATTACAATCATATATCATAACTTCTTTAGCCATTTCTGAATTGATGTGCATCCCTTTAATTTCCAAATTTTAGCCACCACAAAAATAGCTGCTATAAATATTTTTGTACAAATAGATCTTTTCTCTTTTATTGGACGTCTTTGGGATATACACCTAGCAGTGGTATTGCTGAATCAAAGGGTACACACAGTTTTGTAACCATTTTGACATAGTTCCAAATTGCTCTCCAGAATGGTTGCATCAGTTCACAACTAAATCAACAATGCATTGGTGTGCCAGTTTTCCTACATTCCCTCTAACATCCAACATTTTCCTTTTTTATCATATTAATCAATCTGATAGGTGTGAGGTGGTACATCATAGTTGTTTTAATTTGTATTTCTCTAATCAATAGTGATTTAGAGCATTTTTTATGACTATAAATAGCTTTATTTTTTTTTATCTGAAAACTGTCTGTTCATGTCATCTGGCCCTTTACCAATTGGAGATTGATTTATATATTTTTAAATTTGACTCAGGTCTCTCTCTCTCTCTCTCTCTCTCTCTCTCTCTCTCTCTCTCTCTCTTTCTCAGTATACATATATATATGTATATGTATACACATATACATATACATATACACATATACATACATATATATATACATATATATGTATATGTATACACATATACATATACATATACACATATACATACATATATATATACATATATATGTATGTGTATGTGTGTATATATATATATGTATATATATATGTATGTGTATGTGTGTATATATATATGTATATATATATATATATGTATATGTATACACATATACATATACATATACACATATACATACATATATATATACATATATATATATATATATATACACACATACACATACATATAAAGCACATGAGAAATGAGGCTTTTATCAGATATAACCATAGCAAAATTTCTCCCACTTTTCTGCTTTCCTTGTAATTTTTATTGTTTTGGTTTTGTTTGCACAAAAACTTTTAAATTTTACATAATTAAAATTATCTGTTTTACATTTTGTAATGCTATGTATATCTTCTTGGGTCTTAAAGCCTTCCCTTATCCATAACTCTGACAATAAACTATTCCATGCTCTCTTAATTTGCTAATGGTATTACCCTTTATTTGTAAATTATGTATTCATTTTAGCCTTATCCTGTCATACAGTGTGAGATGTTGGTGTATATCTAATTTCTGCCATACTGTTTTCCAGCTTTCCCAACAGTTTTTGTCAAATAATGAGTTTTTGTTTCAAAAGCTTAGATCTTTGTGTGTATCATATACTAAGTTACTATGGTCCTTTACTGCAATAAGCCTCAATGTTCTTTAGGATTGTTATATATGTAATACATACTTAAATATTTTTGCATACATTTTGTTTTGTGAGCAAACACCTTTGAAACAATGTAGTTATATCAATCAAATTATTATTATTGTATATAAGGGAGAAGTTAAGTATGGCCTTTCCGGAAGTCTAATTGAAATGCCTTATATACCTGCAAGGCTAATGAATCTTCAGTTTATGGTAGGAAATTAGGCAAAGACAAAAGAATCAAAAGAATTTAGATTGTAATTTTAGTGTTCTATCTAAGGTCTCACTGTAGATAGGCAATAATGAGGACCCCATTTTTTCTGTCTTCTCAACAGATTCTTGTCTCTTCTTACTCCACACTCAAAAAGAATGGAGAAAGGAAATTATTCACTTGTGACTGAGTTCATCCTCATAGGGCTAACAGACCAGCCTGAGCTCCAGATGACATTCTTCTTCCTGTTCTTAGTCATGTATATAGTCACTGTGATGGGGAACCTGGACATAATTATACTTACTTGGCTGAGTTCTCATCTTCACAATCCAATGTATTATTTCCTCTTCAATTTGTCCTTCATTGATCTCTGTCAATCAACTGTCATCACACCCAAAATGCTAGTGAACTTTATGTCAGAGAAGAACACCATCTCTTATTCTGACTGCATGACTCAGTTCTATTTTTTTGGTTTTTTTGCCATTTCTGAATGTCACATGTTGGCTGTGATGGCATATGACCGCTATGTGGCTATATGCCATCCCCTTCATTACAGTCTTATTGTGTCCTATCAAGTCTGCTCATGGTTGGTGGGTTGGGTGTATGCATTGGGCCTTGTTGGGGCCACAGCTCACACAGGTTGCATGCTTAGAGTGTTTTTCTGTAAGGAAAATGCAATTAATCATTATTTCTGTGACCTTCTTCCACTCTTGAAGCTCTCTTGCTCTGGCGTCTATGTCAATGAACTGGTGACTCTGGCTTCCAGTACATTTAGTATCTTTTTCCCAACACTGACCATTATTTGCTCTTATGTTTTAATCATTGCTAGCATCATAAAAATTCAATCCACTGAAGGCAGATCAAAAGCCTTCAGCACCTGCAGTTCCCATATTGCAGCAGTTGGTGTCTTTGGATCTCTTGCATTCATGTACCTGCAGCCATCTTCATTCAGCTCCATGGGGAAAGTGTCCTCTGTCTTTTACACTATCATTGTGCCCTTGCTAAACCCCCTTATCTACAGTCTAAGAAATAAAGATGTCAAAATTGCATTGAAGAAAGTGATACAAAGAAGAATATTCCAGTGAAAGGGGAAATAATACACTAATGGATTGATGTGTCTAATGGATATTTAGCAAGGGGAGGGAGGGAGAGAGAGAGAAAGAGAGACAGAGAGTGGAGAGGAGAAACAGAGAGAGTGACAAAGAGAGTGAGAGTGAGAGAGACTGGTACAAAGCAGATACTCTGCCCCACACCCATAATTCATTAGAAGACCAACTCAGAGCTACTTTGGGGACATTTCTCAAACCAGTAGTCTGTATCTCTCTTCCCACATTTATTCTCCTATTATCTCTCTGATTTACATTCCAAATGGTTTGTAAAATTCAGCCATGGGCTGACCTGTTCCTGATATTTAAATAGCTGTCTTTGCTATTTTAAATATCTGTATGTAAATGCAACTTTCACAGATGCCCCTCTGTGGACTAATGATTCCTGCAATTAGCAGTTAAATCTACAAGGTTCCAAAATATGAATGTTGCTGAGAATGTTAAGTATAGAAGAGGATTTAATGATTTACAAGCCCAAACCATTGTTTCTCAGCTGAAGAAACTATACCTGACAGAGGATAAATTTCTTTTTCATAGTTTCAGAACAGGCCAAGAGTAAAAACAGGTCTTGAATCCAAATCTCCTGATTCTTGGCCTTTTTTCTTCTGCAATACATCACGTAGTCATCTAGACAAAGGAATTGAATGGAGGAAAACACAATTGCAACCTTTAATGTGAATGGATATGTAAAGGTGTTAAGAATCCATCCTGTAACACCATAAAAGATGGCCTCATGCAGGTAAGAAGTGTTTCTGGGAGACAGACACTGATTTTTCTTCTTGCCCTGGGAAAAACAGACTTTCTTAAGCTCAGTACCAATAGCAGCTACAAGAGCATGAATTGTGAGACAGAATTCTGCTAAACTGGATATTTTAAAGCTGACCATGCCAAAGGTGTGGAACTTGAAACATTTTCAGAATTTTTTTCAATGTATTGATTGGGTTTGCTGATTTTTATCCTCTCTTTTTCTATCTTTTCTCTAAAAGTGTCATTTGTTACATAGGAAGGCTCTGTGAGAAAAGAGCTAGCTCCAATAATAGAGAGCTTAATTACAGAAATTAACTTTAAAAGTTGTAAATTACCTTTCATACATGTCTTCCTTATAAGTACACCTCACTACCATTATACTCTGGACTATTCATTTTCATGAATATTGTCTATATTTGCATGAAACCTTTCACTCAAGGCTTAACTGTGAGAAGAGCAATATTTTGTTCTTACTGTGGTATCTTAAATAATAATCACAACTATGTTTACATAGTGAAAGTAATTAAGACTCTCATGAGTTCTGAGTCTGGAGTGTAAGGTCTGGGATAGGTGAGTGTGGTAAAGGTGTGTGTTTTGTGCAAGGAAGAGATGGAATGGCAGATAGTGTGGAATATTGGATACTGAGTGTTGAGGCTGAGCAGCCTCTGAGGCAGCTTCCTAAGCCCTTGCCTCTGCCACTGTCTCTACTCTCAAGGGCCAGAATGAGAGGGTGGTGACTGTCTTTCCATTTGGGATGACAAATGCTGAAGTATGGTCTCCCTTTTTTTCCCCATCCTCTCTTGCCTGAGGATAGCAGAGGATGACTCCAAAGCTTAATCTATCTTGGAATTGCTCCCCTAATTTCTCCATAAATAATTTGAATTGTTGTTGTCTGGATAAATCCAATCACAATACCTGCTCTTGAGTTATTTGTTGTCTAATTTTTCAATATGATTAGTAATTGAGCAAATTACAATACACGCTTGTCAGATAATATTATATTGCCCTTTAAAAAGATTAATATGAGGAAATTAGGGAAGCACCATAAAGAAGCATCAAGCTTATATCTCAAATTTATAGTTTTAATTGAAATTAAATAGAATACTACACTTGGGAAAATAGGTCATAAACCATAGATTAAAGTTTATTGTGTATGTGCTTACAGAAAGGTAGAGGAAGTAATAAGGGTTGATTCTTAGAATGTAGAAAGTTATTTTATCTGTTTGTTTTAGTGATTTGCAAATGTTTGGGTTTCAAACTAGTGTCCTTAAAACCCTATGTTATGTCTTGTCATGCTTTACACTAGAAATGCATCTTTGAAATTGCTTCCTAATTTATTTCAGAAACAAAAGTTGTTCTTGATTTTCAACTTTACATTTAGGTAGATATTCATCCAGAAATTATTGTTTAGGTTGGTTTTTTAAAATATGTAAAAATTTTAGTTTACTTCAGTTCCTTTCAGCTCTGTATTAATTCATATTGTAACCCCGTTGTCCCTTTCTCCTTGAAATTACCTGATACATAAAATACTATACATATATATAAATTTAAAATATGCATGCATTTGAGTATGGAGAGGGAATATTATAACAGTAGTATTGATATTATGTATAATATACATATATAGATAGATAATAGGGATGGATAGATAGATAGATAGATAGATAGATAGATAGATAGATAGATAAAATAAACTTTTGATTCTAACAGATATTACTCTAAACATAACACAAAATTATTTCCTCCTCAACAGTTCTGGTGCTTTGCTTTGGATCAGTGGCTCTTTTTTTTTTTTTTTGGCTAGGTAATAGGGTTAAGTGACCTGCCCAGGATCACAAAGCTAGTAAGTGTCAAGTGTCTGATTCTGGATTTGAACTCAGGTCCTCCTGAATCCAGGGCTGGTGCTCTATCCACTGTGCCACCTAGCTGCCCCTTCACCAGTGGCTCTTTAAGTGCAGTATGGGTATCCCCAGGAGTCTCTAAAATCCTTTTGTGAGGTCTATAAGCTCAAAACTATTTTCATAATGCAAAAATATTTTCAATTTCTGATATAGTAAATATAAATATAACCCACCAAATAAAAGTTTCTTGGGACATTCACTGTTCATCAGGGTAAAGGAATCTTGAAAGCAAATATTTGAGAATCACTGCTGCAGATATGAATTTCTCAATACAAACTTTCAAAGAAAACAACAGATTACCAAGCTACAGTAGCTGTTCTTCACAAAATCTTAATGGATCCCTTGCAAAGAAATGACTTCCCATGGCTGGAAATTGAGATCAGTGATGATGATGATGATGATGATGATGATGATGATGATGATGATGATATTGTAATAACAATAATGATTGCAATAAATAATTTTTTGCTCATTCAGGCATTCATTTTTGTCCTTAGCACAATAATCAAACATCCTGGTTCCTGTGAGCAATTCAATCCAGTTCATCAAACATTTAGTGAGTACCTACTGCATGTAACATACTGTATTAGTCACTGGGAATAAAAAGACAAATGAAAAACAGCCACCCATGTTGTTTCTGAGGTCAAAATTATTTTCATAATATTGATAAGATGTTTTAATGTTTAATGTGATAGACGTAGATAGATATAACTTACATAAATGAAAGGTGTTTTTTTGGAATTTATGGTATAAAAGTGTCCTAAGACCAAAAGGTATGAGATTCACAACCCTGGATATCTATTTCCTAGTATAAATTTTCAAAGAGAATAGACTGTCACAAAATAGTAAGTGGTCCACACAAAATCTGAAGCAATCCCTCTCAATGAAATAACTTTCCACTGGTGAACTCTGTTCCTATTATATTTTAATACTGCATTGTTGTGAATGTAAGCTCCTTGAGAGAAAGAACAATTTCATTTCTGCACCTCTACCCCTCCATTTCACTGCCATGGTGCTTTGATCTACTCTCTACCTCTCAGTCAGACCCATCCCTCCATTTCCTGCTCTGGGGTCCTGGGCTCTTGAGAGATGAAAGCTAACTATGTGTAGGTCCTTAAAGACTCATCTCAATGCAATCTTACTATCCTCTTGCCATGCAGCAGTTCTGCTCCCCCCGCAACACACTTTTCACCTCTACCTCTGATGATAATCAAAATAGTATTATTTCTAAAAAGAATTTTCATCAGTTGCCCTATAATTTTACCCATAATCCCTATAATTTCCTAGATCAATTGGCTCCTCCCTGGCCACTCCTACCATCTTATATTATCTTCCCTCTTAAGAATATAAATTTCTTCACAGGGAAGTCTCCCTTGCTTTATGTATTTGTGGTCCCAGCATTTAGCATGGTCGCTGGCACATAGTATTTACTTAAAAAGTATTTTTTCACTCAGCAAGTCATTCATTTCTGTGCTTACCACAGAATTTTGAAGAGTACACATACTTCATATTTGTTCAAATTAGTTTATGTGAATTTCTGAAAAGTGTTATGGTGAGATTTAATAACCAGGGATTCAAGACTCCTTCTCAAGGCTCCTCCTCAAGACTCCTCCTTTGGGGAGATTAACTACTCAGTGCTCAATTTCCAGGGGAGGTGAGGGAGGGTCTATGTGACAGAGTTGGCAAGAGTTTGGGATAGTAGAGATCTTGGTCTTCTTTCTTCCAGCTTTATGAGAGAACATATAAGGTTCCGGATTCTCTTCAGAGTGGGGTCCCTAAAGATAGACAAGGACTCTAGAAGGAAGCTGAAGTAAAGAAGATCTGGTACCTCAATTATGTCCCCCAACCCCAACATACCATTCTAGAGACAGCAGGGAATGCCCCCTTGAGTGAGATGTAGAGCTCTCTCTTAATTGAGATCAGATAACTTGCTCCAATTGGGAGAGATCATTTTCCTGTCTATTGTCTGTCATATTCTCAATTCTTTTTTTTTCAATTTTTAGGCATTTGGAGTTAAGTGACTTGCCCAGGGTCACACAGCTAGTAAGTGTCAAGTGTTTGGTCTGAGGCCAGATTTGAACTCAGGTTCTCCTTACTTTAAGGCCAGTGCTCTATCGCTGTGCCACCTAGCTGCCCCCTATATTCTCAATTCTGTATAACTTCTCTGATTTCTGTTGGATATCAGGAAAGCTCTGAGAGCAGCAGATGGAAAATCTTAGGACAACTGACCAAATCACTGAAACAAAAATCCCCTCTATAATAATCCCAAAAATTGTTTATCAGGCCTCCTCTTCAACAGCTCTAGGGATGAGGAATACAACAGTGAATGTC